GTACTGTGGTTTGGTATTCAAATTTAAAATTATTTCGCGCGGAAAATTGGACTTAACAGGTGCTAATACAAATTTCGCGTAAACAGTTTAATAAATTGTGAATAGCTGTTGAAATTTTGTAGAATTATAATTTGGGATATTATTAATAGTTTAAATAATTATTTGTAATCCATAAATTATATAAGTTTGAGCGCAATAATTTAAAATGTTTGGTAATATTTTTAAGCTATGATACGACCGAGAATACGACTAAGGCGAACAAACATTCCGCGAAATTATCGAAGTTCTCCGACGGGGTTTGACGATTACCACCAAAATCCTTTCCAACTTCTGTCCCTGCTATATGACTCAGGTATTCAAAGACGATGACCTTAAAGTGTCCCTTATTTTTATACATCAACATAAACTTGTAAAATTTTAAAAATGTAATTACTCCTTCAATTACTGGTATTTTTTCAAAATAATACTTTTACACCTTGTATACTTGCGTGCATAGAAATCGGCCCAATATAAACTTTTGACTTTAACTATATTTTTTTTTTTTTAATTATTAAACAACATTACTGTTATTAATTAATTATTAGACAACATTAAAGCATATTAAATTGTCTTTCAAACAGCATATTTTTTTTGATCTGATGAATAATTTAAAAATATAGTTAAAGTCAAAAGTTTACAGTGGGCCGATTTCTATACACGCAAGTGTATTTTTTATCATCAATTCATGTAATTAGTTATTAATACTACTTATTAGAAAGAACAAAAGAAAAATCTTCATTTACTCCAAAATATACCTTATCAATTTATAGACAAACACTTAAATATAACCATACAATACTAACAATTACACGAATAAAACATTAAAAAAAAATTAAAAATTGTTAAATATAAAATTAAAGGTATGTTAAAACACATTTTTCAATAAAACACCGAACCAGAAATTATAAATAATATATTCACTAATAAACAACAAAGAAGTAATAATCGCATAAATATGTCGCCGATGTGTTTCTTACCACCGTTTCGTATAGAATACCTCATGGAGTCGTCCAGCCGGTCCAGCTATCACATACGTCACGATTCTCGCTAGTCGCGCTTAGAGATCCGCAATGCCGGTATCTATGGTACCGCCGTTATTGAGAGATGGGAACTATTGTTCTCGCTTGGAGCGTAACAGGTAATTACAAATATAAAAATATAGCGTTCAGTTACAACAATATAAAAGTCATTGTTATTACTAAAGATTTTCTGGACTGTATTTTAAAGGTTCTGATTCAATGCACTTATCGATAATTTTAATTGACTTTAATTATAACATACTTGCAACACAAAAACATTGTATATTCACAAAAATGAGAACAAAACGTGTTAATTTGTTGATTTATGCTGTCTGTTTACCGGCTTTTTTTGTCAGTCTCGTCTTTTTGCACATCTCCCCACTTACGGTCCCTTTGGCGCGCGATCTCGTGTGCCGACGTCACTTGACCTTGGCACCGGTGTAAAATTCCGTGAAAGTATAATATGCTTTTGTTATCAAAATATTCTTTTAAAAGTTATTGTTTCCATTGATTTAATATTATTTGGAATCGTATTGTACATCAAAAATAAGACGATTAAACAAAATATCCTTAAATAAAATATAACAGGTTTCCGAAATACAGTGTGTTAAACATTCAAAACTTATTAATGGCTATAATCTTTTTATTTCTCAATATAATTTTACTAAATTCGATAAACATCTTTGGTGTCATAAGATACACATATCGGCAAAACAATCAGCTAAATAAACCCTGCCAGTGGCGCACGGAACGGATAAGTAACACTTTCACCCCCTCTAAATTATTACGCTACTGTCCAAAATGTCATTTGGACTGTGTTATGTTGGGAATGAGATGTTAATACACTGCGACCTAAAAGATCCATTGTGTCGCCAATGCTGCAAAGAAATGTCTCGATGCCTATAACGACCCTTCTAACCCTATCTTCTCAAGGAAGTAGAGGATTAGGATTGGCTTCAAGTTAGGTAAATATCTCTCTTCTATTTGATGTGCTCCTGGATATAGTACCCTTGGATTCTGGAGTGATAGACATTCTATTAGAAATGTGCAAGTAAAAGAATGGAATAATCGTGAATACTTTTCTCTTTGACAAATATATTTTTATTAATGACAAAATTACTGACAACTCTCAAACTAAGTCTAACAATAAGTATATGGGTAAGTATCAACTCTAACAATCCTCCCCCCTGAGCTTAAACCCAAATATTTGTACAGGTTTGACTAGACGTCCACTTCTTGTCTTCAAACCTTCTTCTTCTGTTTCTTTTAGACGTGCCTGTCCATTCACTTCGTCTTTATCATCCTTTTCTTTCCCAACTAGCTTCTGTGTCTGCTCTGAATATTGCTTAACCGCCTTCTTTTCTAAGCGCTCTTTTCTTTCCTTCATAATATGAACCTTACTTTCGCAATCTGCGTCTACTTCCAATGGGTACAATTTTTGAAAAGGCCTTAATATTTCCCCATGTTGTAATTTTACCTTTGCTGCTCTGCAATTTCCATCTTTTCCTTCTATTAATTCTAGAATCCTACCCAATGGCCAATTTATTCTTTTTATATTTTCTTGTTCCACATAAACTACATCTCCAATTTTTAGTGGTCTAGATAGTTTTCTCTGTTGGTGATGATGAATGAGTTGCGCTAGGTATTCATTCCTGAATCGAGATCTAATGTCGTCTCTTAATTTTTGCAAATATCGGTATCTTCTGATTATATGATTTCTGTCGATGTTGTCCAAGTCTGGTATTTCACAGGTTGTCAGGTCATAAAGAAACATCGAAGGTGTCAATGGAATTAAATCTTGATAATTTTCGGAAACATACGTCAGCGGCCGAGTATTTATTGTCGCTTCGCAATCGCAAAGAACAGTTAACAGTTCTTCATAATTAACGCATGCTTTTCCCAAATTTCGCCGGAGTAATTCTTTGATCATTCTTACAATACGTTCCCAGAATCCTCCCCACCACGCAGCTGTTGGGATATTAAAAATCCATTTTATTTTTCTAATCGACGAATAATCTACAATCTTAGTCCAGTCCATTTTCTTTAGGCAATTATTAGCACCAGTAAAATTCGTTCCATTATCTGAGTACAAAACTGAAATTCGTCCCCTTCTGGCAATGAATCTTCTAAGTGACAATAGAAAATTATCTGTTGATATAGCTGTTACCAACTCCAAGTGAATTGCTCTAAATACTGCGCATGTAAATAAAACCACCCATACTTTTGAACCATCTTTTAAATATAATGGGCCAGCTAAATCTACTCCTGATATCTCGAAAACAGCGGCGTTATTATGTATTATTAGAGAAAATTATTGGATTTTAAGAGGAGCCAAATATTAGAAATGTGCAAGTAAAAGAATGGAATAATCGTGAATACTTTTCTCTTTGACAAATATATTTTTATTAATGACAAAATTACTGACAACTCTCAAACTAAGTCTAACAATAAGTATATGGGTAAGTATCAACTCTAACACATTCAGTCAGAATGTGAATGGAGGTTTCGTCCTCCTCCTCACAGAATCTGAACTCACTATCTTCTACTACTCTCAGTTTACTAAGGTGACCTTTGAGACGGCAACGCCCTTTAAGGATCCCTCTTACAATACGTAGCCTGTGCTTGCTCAGGCAGATACAGGCTTCCCATCTTTTCTGGTTATATTTACCAAGACATTTGCACTATACTTTTACACGTTTTAATATTTAATTTTTTATTTTTTATAAATTACCAAGATTACATGATTTATTTAAAAAAACATCAAAATATTCAAAATTATAGTGCAAATAAGTTCTTGGAGAGTGGCGTAAAATTTAGACAGGATGAAGGTGTTACTTACCTCGTGCGTACGCCACTGGCAAAGTTTATTTAACTGATTTTTTGCTGATTGGTGCATCTTATGACATTAAAACCGTTTGCTCAGTATAATTTTCTAAAAAAAAAAAAAAAAAAAATAGTGAAGAATATCCACCTTTTGCCGCGTTTGAATATCCACATCAGATGCATCTGAGATGTTGTGAATTTATTATCACGTGATAGAGAATTAGAACTGAATGTAGATGTAATAAACAAACGCTCTAGACTTTATTGGTCACGTGATAAAATGTCAATGACAAGTTAAAAGTTTATAGTTTTTAAATTTGACTTTTGAGACTACAAATCAACCTAAATTTGAAATCTAAACAAAAATTAAACTAATCCCTTTTATATTCATGCTAGGATAAAGGATAAATTGACAAACTTGGCTTACTTACTTTCTGGCATAGAACGAACATCTCATTTGAAATCGAGATGTAAAAAAATGTAACCTGAACAAGTACATCTGGGATAAACAAACGCTCGAGATGTAAAAAATGCATCCGATGTGGATTTTCAAACGCGGCATTTGAGTGTAAATATCTCGAAAACCAATCACTTTTTGAGTTCCCAGCAATAGAACATGATTTATTTAAAAAATGTATAGTCCAAATAAGTTTTTGGGTGGTGGAGTGAAATTTAAAGGGCATGAAGGTGTTATTCATCCATGCCGTACGCCACTGGCAGAGTTTATTTAACTAATTGTTTTGTCTATTGGTGTATCTTATGACACCAAAAATGTATACCGACTTTTGAAAAATTATACTGGGAAATAAAAAAATTATATCTATTAATTTCTGAATTATCAACTTTAATTTCGGAAACCAGTAATCTGCGTATGTTTCGTTTAATCGTCTTATTTTTAACAAGATAATCTTCAATTCTGTGTCCCATTGTTAATGAGACCCTGTATATATTGAAAATTAAGAAAACATCATTTATATTCACGCATTATACATAATTAAACATTTAAAAATTAAATTAAGTTAAAAACTTTAACTTGACAACAAAAAATATATAAATTATGTAATTGCTAAATTGTTAGATCCATAGTAATTATTAAAATTAATAACATTTATTTTTTAGATTAGAAACTCTGCGACACTTTTGTATGCCGCTTTGATAACCAGAATGTTTGGCGTGCAAAGGACCCACGATTCTGATGACGTGTGCTTGAAAAACCGGTTAACTGTCAGAGTTTTTTTCATGCGATATCCGGAGTTGTTTCAGTTTTTGCTGGAGAAATTGACAGAAGAAAGCAGCAAAAGTGATAGTCTGCTCTTGCATCCAGTTTTAATGATACTTGCCAGGCTGTATCCTTCACACTTTGAGGAATATAATACCCAGGTAAGAACTATACACTATCTAATATCTATAGTGCCACATTTGACGAGATGGATACCCTTTTACATTATTTCATATTGTTTATAATTTATCATTACACATTCTGCATTAAGAATTAGCAATGCAAAGTTGCATTTTCTATTTAAAAAATGTATCCACTTTTGATAATTATATTACCAGCTAGTTTTTGACTTAAAAAAAAAACTATCAAAAATGTCAGGGTTATATGGCTCATTCTACCAAAAATACCATATATAGTCCATTAGTCCATTTAAAATAACGGTAAAAGGTCGAGAAACGCCGCACTTGACGAGAACACTTGTCCCCTACGTATTTTGGGGCGCTGATTACGAAAATGAGGGTTAAAACTGGCAGCAATGGTTGGAACACCCCTAAAATTGCAAAAAAACACCCCTAACTAGGGGTATTTTTCGACTGTACTTGTTTTGCAAACTGAGCCATCTAAAAATCGTAAAATCGAAAAAGAAATTCCGTAACGAAAATAAACCTAACATCCCCTTACTCCGACCGGCACAGCGGTGCGGCGTTGAAAGCCGTGCATCGTCTAACGTTGTTTCAGTTCGGCAGATTTCGGCACAGTGTTTGTGTGCGTGCGACTAGACGTATGCATGTAGACTAGCTGCTAACTGCTCATAGACACAATTTCGGAAAAATTGAATTTGAAAATGAATAATGATCCACAAGAATCCACAACAAAATATGGGACCACCATTGACGCAGTATTTTCCAGATATTTAGAGGATATCAAGTCTCAAACTTATGTTTCTTATTTCAGTTACCATAAACCTATAGTTTCAATGATACAAATTCCTGAATAACCTACATGTATTGTAAGATAATACAAATATTTTAAACAATAATAACTTCTCATTTATTCAATAAAAGAAAAAAAATTGTTTTCTTATCGGTCACCACGCTCAAAAAGTATAACTTGAATTAATATCAAAGAAAAAACTTGAATTAATATCAAAGAAAAAAACACTGCCTAAATAAAATAAATAAATAATTATAATTGCATAAGTTGATAAAAAAATGCTATGCAATAGCTTTACCGCGGCAGTCCCAGTGCCACACGTATTTTTTTTTTTTTTATTTTTTTCAAGTTTTATAAATAAAATACAGAAAATGTGGATCTCATACATTTTGTATTATAAAATAACGTTACAAAAACTTGAATGTCTGGAAAAACAACATTTCGGAAGAAAAAAAAAACTAAAAAATTTAAACAAATTTTAAGAAATTTAAACGAATTGGGTTCTGGTATTTAAATATTGGGTTGTGGCATATCTTTGGGAACATCACAAATATCTTCTTCGAACAAATTCTGAGAACATTTTATTGTTGGTTAATTCAGTAATTTGGATGAGGCTGCTTTTGAAAGAGACTTTACATTGGATGTAGCCAGTTTTTCAATGCATCCCAATATTTGGGCGCAGATTTCAGTCAGATGGAGTCGCTTATGATATAATCGGAATATACCATGTAATAAAGCGTATTTAATAAATAGTAATATGCTATCGCACTTTAAAATTAGTTTTAAAAATTTTTGAATGTAGCCGGTTTTGCAAATAGACTCACATGTTGACTGGTATATCTTGCCACAATATACAGTTTTATATTGAAACCAATCACAAACAAATGTTTTTAGAATATAAATAAATAGTAAGAATAAATCATAAAACTAGAATGAAGGTATATAATAATGCTTGACATTCTATATTACGAGTATATATTACTCTACACAGATTTTTTTTTTTTAATCCATATGCTTCATCCCCTTATAAAGCTTGATTTTTCCTGAAGATTTCAATGTAATATCGTTTCTTGTTTCTGAGTCAATAGGTTTTGTCTCCTTATAGAGCTTGATTTTTGCTAAAAATTTCAAGTTCATTTTTCCTTTTTGAGTTAGCACTTTTTTTTAATATTTCAACCCCCTTTATCCCCCATTTTTAGTCAGATTTTTTTAAGAATCAATAGGCTATATTCCCTTATAGAGCTTGATTTTTACTAAAAATTTCATGTTGATACCGCTTTTGGTTTTTGATTTCATTTTTTTTTTTTAATTCAACCCCCCTTAACGCCCCATTTTTATTCAGATTTTTTTTCAGAGTTAATAAGCTTCATCTTCTTATACAGCTTGATTTTCACTAAAAATTTCATGTTGATATCGCTTTTTTTCATTTTTTGATTTATGATTTTTCTTTAATTTCAACCACCTTAACCCCCATTTTAATCAGATTTTTTCAAAATCAGTAGGCTTTATCTCCTTATAGAGCTTGATTTTTGCTAAAAATTTCAAATTGATATCAATTTTCATTTTTAAGTTATCGTGCGTACAAAAAACGTGACATCGGTCGGACGGACGGAAGCGAATGCATAATACTCTTCACAGACTACTATGTGAAGAGTAAAATAAAAATTTACAACAATATGTCAAATTTTAAAAATATGACCCTGTTAATGTAACCTAAAATGAACAATAATAGTAATGTTTTTGTTAAAATACATTTTCTTTTAGATGGACAAATATGTACCACATCTGACAACGTGTCTGTCAAATCCGGTGTTTAGAACAAGAGAACTGGCTGCTAGAGCATCAGTTTCTTTCATAAAATGTGAGCATGTTCCTAGTCATTTAGATAATATTTTTAAAATTTTAGAAGACACCAATATTAATGATAACCAGGCTCACGGTATTTTATTACAGGTAAGCAAAACATTACACATATATAGTGTCATTTAAAATGAAATACTCTTCATTAATTAACAAACACTTGAAAAAAACAATTCTCAAAAATTTTCAATTACGTTTGTTCTATATTATAAGTAATATTTTTTATAGATTTTATATACTCTAAAATCCAATAATGTGCCGGGAGCTCCAATTACAAATTACATTGAAAACTCACTTCATTTATTGAAATTAGTAGGAAAGAAATTTAGTCACATGACAGCTTCGCTGTTCATGGAAGTCATTATGACAATTTTATTGAAGTAAGTAAACTAAATGTAGATCCTTAAAAAGGAAACAGTACTTATTTTCTTCACATCACATGATATATTATGTTGTCCTTTTTTTAGATACTCAAATTATGAAGATTTACAAATGCTAAAAACCATTGCAAGCATATTATCTAAACAAATAACCTCGGATCTCATACCAACAACATCAATGTCAAAATGTTCAGAAACTAGAATGTCATTACTTCTGTTCATAATAATCAACAAATTCGAAGAAAGTGATTTAACTTTTTCAACCATAACCAATCAGATCATGTGTCAACTATATGGACACAATGTAGAAATGAAAAATTACTGCTTGAATCTGTTAATATATCTCAACGAATGTAACAGTGGAATTAAACACCCTTTATATAAAATGGAAGAACTTCAAATCCCTATAGAAATAGTTACACTAGTTGATAGTTTTGAAAAATCTTCCATAATGAAAATTTTAACGAATACTCATCAGTATCTTAAGTATTTTTTGACTGAAGAAATTAAACACCAACATTATATTAGGATAGAGGACCAAGTGATGGTTTTCATTTTATTAAATTATTATCCTTGTGTTACTAAACATATTAATTTAAGCAAGCAAGAGACATTGAATTTTTTGATTAAATTGTGTGGCTGTGATAACGAAGAACTTATTAGTGCTGTGGTTAGTTGTATAAGCACTTTTTTATTCCAAGTGGACTACAATGTTTTGAAATATGAACAGTTAGTGCAAGTGTTGGTTGAGAGTGCTTCGCCTGCAGCAAGCGATTACAGGAGGTTGGCAGTTTCCGAGTTATTGGTCAAAAATTACATTTTATTCTGCAACGAGGATAATATTTTAATTGGTAAGTTTGCTATTACAACAAATTTTTTAATAGTAATTTTCTTTATCAAGCTCATAGTCTAAGATCCGACAGTATGATTTTTGCACTTGTCTGTTTTTTAATCAAAAATACTATTTTTGTAGAGAAGTATTGATAGAGAAATATGGTTTTGCTAAGTTGCCTGACAAAATATTACCACAAGTACTTTTAAAAGTATTTTTTTCTACTTTATGTTATTTTTGTGATTGCAGAACAAAATTATTTCAACGAGAGTTGTTTGTGACTTTATTATTCTCTATAATTTTGGTCAAATACACGATTTCTCTAAAATGGACCATAGGAGAAATTTTAGGAAAAGTGTAAATATTCTTGTAAAGTTAACAAAATATTAAGTACGGCCCATCTAATCAAAATGAATTACAGATAAAAAAAGTTCAAAACATTATTTCATAACATCATTGCCAACGAATTTTTTCAGTATTTTCTCCATTATGATCCATTTTAGAGAAATTATGTTAAGGTTCAAAATTATAGAGAACATCACAAACAACTTTTGTTGAAATAATTTTCTTTTATAATCTTAAATAATAATGATGCTAATAACCAAAGTAGTTTATGCCGAAGACACCAAATTAAAAAAATTTAATAATAATAGTAATAATAGCCTTCATAGCCCAATATATATTATATAAATCCCTTTATAGAGCAACCCAAAAAATCACTAATAATGTAATAAGAATGGGACACAGGACAACTAAAGATTCTCTGATTAAAAATAAGACGTATAATAAAATATTACTGATTTCCAAAAAACAGGTTGTTAAAGTTAAAAATTCAAAAATGATTAATAGCTATTAGCAAAACAATCCGTTAAATAAACCACCAGTGACGTACAACACAGATAAGTAACAATTGCGTCCCCTCTAAATTTTACTCCACTGTCCACAAACTTATTTAGACTATGCAATTACATTTTTTGATGTTTTTTAAATAAATCACTCTAAAGGGTGGATATTTTTTTTTAAATTTGGAATGTTGAATTTTTTTTTATAAATTCCCAACAAGAGTACATGAATTATTTAAAGAATATAAAAAATTCAAAATTATAGTCCAAATTTAAAACATTCCAAATTTAAAAAAAAATTAATTAAAATGATGAATATCCACCCTTGAGAGTGAATAATTCGAAAACCAATTACTTTATGAGTTCCCAACAAGAATACATGATTTATTTAAAAATATCAAAAAATAGTCCAAATAAGTTTTTGGACAGTGAAGTAAAATTTAGAGAGGATGAAAGTATTACTTATCCAAGTTGTACGCATCTGGTAAAGTTTATTTACCTGAATATTTTGCTGATATGTGTCATATGTGTATCTTATGACACCAACAATGTTTACCGAATTTAGTAAAATTATATTGAGAAATAAAAAAATTATAGTCATTAATAATTTTTGAATTTTCAACTTTAACACTTATTTTGGATACCAGTCTTATTATACGTCTTATTTTTAATCAGAGAATCTTCAGTTTTTTTGAGCCCCATTCTTAATGGAAATTGTGAAAGACAGTGCATACAAAATAAAGAAATATAAAAGAACAAAAAAATAAAAATTTTTAAGCATTGTCACAATTGGTACGAGCAAGTGCTTTAATACTTTCCAAACTATCTGTGAATATATCTGATGAATTATAATATAAGTGAAAGTTATTACACATAACATTGAGATGTGAGCTTAATAGAATATTTGTTACAATAAAAAGTTAAATACGATAGCGTAGGAGTCTACGGCGCCGCATTCATTTGCGAGCCAATTTTGTGGTTCTCTATAGGATTTGACGGATGCCGTATTAGCAGAAATTTTATTATATGACATCCAGATTATTAAAATTGTCATGCGTTACCGTTTTCGATGATGGTGGAAGGGGTTTTCCGGGTTTTCCTCATCTGTAAGTCAAATGGCACCATCAATCATCTTTAAGTTGCCCCGGAGCGCCACGGCAAATAATAATAGCCGTCCCTTTCCCTGGACAAGCTCAGCTTTTGGGGTTAAAATTCACTCGTAAGAGGGTGAATTAGGAAGAGTATTATGATTATATTATTATTATTTTACCAGGGAACATTTAAATTAATTTTAGCTAAAATAGCAGGACAGTCAATTAATCTATTCGTGATTTTATATAAAGAAGTCAAAGAAGCTAGAATTCTCCGAAATTCAAGGCTCTCTATGTTAAAACTATCCAAAAGTAGCTGATAATCGATTTCTCTTTGAGAGTAGAAACCATTTACTTTGAAAGCTAAATATTTCAAAAACTTCCTTTGAAAAGATTCAACACTAATCATGTGAATATTATAGTAGAGATACCAGATAGTTGATCAGTACTTAAGCTTAGTGGAGATGTATGAATAGTATAATATTTTTAATGCTCCAATGTCCCTGCATCCATGACAGTTTCGTATAACAAAACCATACATTTTTGTTTGCATCAGAAACCTTCATAATTAATATGCTCAACAAAACTTAGTCTCGAGTTAAAAGTGAAACAAAACAAAATAAAGAAATCTTTATTTACTCCAAAAATACCTTTAGACATATGACAACTGCAATATTCCCGCTATCCCTATGCTCCTAGCTTTGTGCCTAACTTTCGGTTCGGCTAATATCCCTCCACAATATCTTCTAATTCTAGTCGACGACGGGCTCTTGCCCTGTTGCCATTGTATTAACTTGTATACCACTTGTATGCCTAGCACGAAAAAATAAGCAGTGTATATAAATACACATTAAACACATTTCTTTCATAATATAAATTTTTTTATATAATTATTATTTTTGTTCTTAATAATCAATATTTTATATTATTACAGAATCACAGAATAATTCGTCTAAGTTTTAATATGCTTTAGCACACAGGAATGACTTCAATTTTAATTTTTGTGGTCTGATTTCGAAAGTCTTTAGTGCAGAAGGCATCTTATTCCAAATCTTTTGAATAGCGTATTCTACATTTTTTTGGATATTGTTATATCTTAGGGTGCATATTGATCTTGTATTATAGATATGTTGAACTTCATTGATCTCAAACAGATCGTAATTTTGTTTGATAAATATAATCGATTCCAAGGTATACAGTGTGTCTACTTAAGTTGGAACCATATGGAAAACTTGTTTATTATTAGTTTAGTGAAAAAATTTATTCTTTATAAAAAGTTCTGCATGGTCCAAAATTTAAAATCCAACCATCACTTATCAATTTTTTAAAGCCGTATACGACGTTTGTCAAAAAATATGAATTTTACTCAAAAGTAACTTTATTCTTTATACGACTGATAAAATTTGATATCTGAAGGTTGTATTTTAGATTTTAGGCCATGTTCTACTTTTTATAAAGAATAACTTCCCAATATTTAAAAAAAAAGTTTTTCATATGCCACCAATTTACGTAGACAGTTGGTGGCATAGGGAAAGCTTTTTTACTGCTAATTTTAGGGGAAAAAAAGTGATTCTTTATAAAAAGTCGAGAACGGTCCAAAACCTAAAATAAAACCACCAAATACCAAATTTTATCAATCGTATAAAGAATAAAGGTACTTTACTCTTGGGTAAAATTCATATTTTTTGACAAACCTCGTATACGACTTTAAAAAATTGATATCTGATAGTTGCATTTTAAGTTTTGGACCATGCAAAACATTTTATCAAGAATAAATTTTTTTCACAAAACCAATAATAAAAAAGTTTTCCTTGAGTAGACATACTGTATAAGCACACTGTGGTTAATATCTTCTTTTGAATAAAAATCTCTTTACAACTATCTCCTAGTTTCATGTTGAATATATTTCTAAGGCACCTTTTTTGTAAAATAAATATATGTTGTGCATCTGCTGAATTACCCCAGAAAATTATTCCATAACTAATTCTAGACTGCACATAGGCATAGTATGCGGTTAGAGCAGTAGTTTTTAGCTGAATGAATTCTTAGACAGTAGCTAAATTTGGAAATATTACCCGATACTTGTTGAATGTGTTCTTTCCAGTCCAATCGCCGATCAAGCGTCACTCCCAGGAATGTGACAGGAGTTTCTGAAATTATATTTTTGTCCTTGTAGTAAATGTGCCACGACTAAAATTAATCACTTGACATTTAACAGGATTTTTTTGTTTTTAGACCAATGTTCTAATGTATTTAATGTGAAATTTAGTTTTCCCTTGCATAAATCAAGTGTTGGTTCACTAAAAATCAATAAGGTGTCATCAGCATATTGTACAAAAATTTCATTAACAACTTCTGGTAGCTCATTTACATATAGTATGTAGAGTAAAGGACCCAATCTGGAACCCTCTGTTGCACACCTTTTTTATAGATTTAATATCTGATTTAACTAGACTATTATTATCGTCAAAATCTGTGACACATTGTTGTCTATCGAGTAAATGTGATTTTATAAGCAGAAGTGGTACCCCTATGATTCCCATTAACTCCAGTTTACTACGTAGAATTTTGTGATCAACACTATCAAAGGCTTTAGACACCTAAATCAGTGATAGAGGAACCAAGTGACAAAACTAAACAATTAATATTATGATAAAAATCTGTAGTAAATCTTTTTCTGGTGTATACCGTCACTTTACACTTAGATGCATTTATAATTAATGTATTTTGCATGCATCAATCTAATAATATATCTAGGTCCTGCTAAAGCGCTTAACAGTCATACATATCTGATACTAATAGATATATTTTAAAGTCACCTGCATAAAGAAGTCTACAATAATTTAAGTGGTAATCAAGATCATTAATAACAAAAATAGCACCAGTCCAAGGTCTAAACCTTGAGGGACACCTGATTTTGCTAAGTACACTTGTGAAGGATAACCATTATTATTGTCCACCTGTATCAACCGTTATTATAAGTAAATTACTTTCAGTAGACTTTTTGTTTAAGTAACCATGCTGCGAAGGAGATATTAGGTTGCGAACAGACGGATATGTTTGCGTAAATATTTTTTTCAGAATTT